ACAAAATTAACGGTAAGGTATATGTGACCCCCTCCCCCATAGCATACTGAGTCGCAATGAGGAAATTTTGAAAATTGAGTTATTGTTATTTTCACATTCTCCAACTCATTACCTTCAATTTGATGTTTAGTTTGTTTTGAATTGGGGCAATTCAAACAACTCAAAAAAGTAAGTTTTGAGAAAAAGAAAATCAATGATTTGGTATGTTCCAAAACAAAATCCCATAGCAACCAGGCCATTTATTTGCTGTTTTGTCGTTGAATACTGTATATCTTTCCATGGGTTTTCAGGGGTGATGAAAACGAAAATTGTAGTAAAAATTTGATCTGACGATTTCCGCAATTTATTTGCTATTTTGTCCTTTAATGTATTTTAATTAGGATTTCAAGGGTGCTGACGACGAAAATCGTAGTAAATGCACTCCTTTCGTAACGAAACATCCACAACACATACAGCATAATATTCACATGACAGTGTTATAGTGAAGAACAATCTATACATTAGTAGTCTGTTGTGCATATGTATATTATAAGTTAATCTCATCAATTAATTAGCACCTTTCAGGAGATTAAGATTGTTGATTGGATAATCATCAAAAAAGCCGCCACAGCTGTACGTGTGTTCATTTAACACGTGAATTAAAATAAGATTTTGCATGTACGATAGGTCTATTATTATTTTCAGGTGCCGTGACGTTATCAAAATATGAGTCCCTATAGAAATATAAATTTCATAGTCAAGAAATGCTTACGTTCACTTTCGTGCATTTTGGCTTTGATGTAAATATCAACATTATTCAGAGGATACGCAATGGCAGACTTGAGTATCGTCGCATTTCGGTTCGTTGGTCGTTCGCATTTTTTCAACCCATGGTGATAAGAGAATTTTAAACAATAATATCCCAGATGCATTCCATACTTTGCATGCCGTATGAAGAAGCGACAGTAAACCGACTTCAGCTATCAATAAAATTCTCTTCGAAAAGAAAATTTTTGGCCATTTTGTTTATTTCGATTTAAGGCCTATAAATTATTTTTTAAAGATGATATGAGATATCAAATAATCACCACTTGGATTAATTATTCGGAGTACATAATCAGTTGTCGACGGCTTTATCATTGACCCATGACAGTTGATTAGTATTACTCAATGACACACTCAATAGACTGTTCCGTGCTCATAATTTCAGTTTACTTGTATGTATGAAATTCATTTTTTTTTCTGTAACGTACGATCATATTGTATTTTAACATTGTATATCGTGCCTTATATGTTATTACTATTTTCATCGTTATATATATTGTTTAAAAGTAATTATTTCTCAATGTAAATAGATTATCACACGATTCTTCGGTGCTCAGAATTTCTGCTTGTGTGTATGTATGTGTATGAAATTCAATATTATCTGCGATCATATTATCTGTTTCAAAAAAATTAGGGAAAACAGATTGGTGTTGATGATCTTTTTTTAACAATTAGTTGTCATTCCAAATTTAATCCATACAGATATCAAAGTGCCGCCTGCTCCAAAACATGCTAGATATCTATTGTAAATTAAAAAACAATACACATTGCGCCGTATTCTGTATGGGGAACCCATTGTAAGAACGGGAATGGTACAGATAGTGCGATGAATCAAACCTTGCCACTGAGCATTTAAATTCATATTTAAATAGGAAGGTATTTATTAGATCGATCGATCTAACCATCTTCGGTGTCTTTTGCAAACTACGGCGGTAATCGAAATCGTCGACAATAGTCCCTTTGTTCACTGCCATCCATTATTGTTTAAAAAATTTGCTCCAATTCGTGAATATTAATAACTAATAATTAATTTATTCAGGATACTTATAATCACTTATATAGTACCAATACTCACCAGAAATTTATATGGTTAACGATTTCACGCTCTACTGGCGACGGTTCCACTTACTGACGCACATCAAAGATAACTGGCGGTTTCACTCAGGTAGTAAGCGCTAGCCTAAATACTGACGGTTTCTTAATTAGTCATGCTTTTTCCAATTTCTCCCGCACGCGTCTGACTAGTGATATGTTCGGATAAACTCACGTTTGTTTAATTAGTCACGTTATTTTTGTATACTGACACAAGTAAGAAATACTTACCAATTGACTTAAATACTCACCTTATGATTATTACTGACCATTTATAGGAATACTGACGTAAGGTGCATGTACTGACGGGTTTAAGCGACTACTGACAAAACATATTTTTCTCACGAGTTTCCATGAATAGTAACCACAATTAATCATTTCTACTCTTTTGAAGGATATTCTAACGCAGAGGCCAGTTACTCAATACTCAGAGCTCAGTTCTACACACTATGCATGTTACCGTGTTAACTCGTTAGCGGCAGCTGAGCGCCATTATTTCACCAAACCAAACTATATCTAGAAACAAACTACATATTTCTGGATAAAGGAGCATAACATCACATGGATGCCTATTAGGGGCTCCAGGGCCACATGGGCCGGCTCTGAAAAGGGGGGCACAAGCTGTTTTGTGAACAATTAAACAAACAAATTCTACCTACAAAACACGAAAATAACCCCCACAAAACTAGGCAATATTCAGTTTAATCCTTTAGTCGTGTGTCTGGTTGCAACCTGCGACAGCACAGGTGCAAAATACTATACATTCTAAGCCACCCCTAGTGCAGCTACAAGCAAGCGTACTATTTGGCGCGTCACTTGTGCATCCGCATTTGATGAGCCACAGGAGCAATTTGACTGATTGTAATGTTCTCAATTTAGTCTCCTTAACCCAGCAATACAGTTCTGGATCAAGTTCCGGTGGATTGCGATCTTCTAGTGAACGCCACACAATAGCATGGTGGTGACATCGTCTTACTTTCCATACGAATGCATCATTCGTTGGAGCAAGACTACATAACCCAAAGATCTTGGTTCCTTTCGATATTCGCTTATATTGGATAGTAACTTCCTGAAATATGGCCCCTGATTGTACGAAAAATCACGTTTTTAGCTTGAGGTCCCTCTAGATGTCACGATTATTATCCGATTTAAAAAAACATTCAAATATATCACTGTTACACCATAATTTTGGTTGAGTTCATGAAAATCAGACCAAAACTGCCGGACAAAATGGCCGCCCCTTGTACACAATTAGCGTAAAAATATCATACATCAATGTTGTGGACCCCTTAGAGGTCACAATTTTCTTCTGATTTTGATGAAACTTGAAATATAAGTTTATAAACCAAAGATCTTGGTTCCTTTCGATATTTGCGCATATCAGATCGTAACTTCTTGAATGATGACGCTTGAATGTACAAAAAATCACGTTTTTAGCTTGTGGTCCTATAGAGGTCACAATTTTTATCTGATTTAAAAAAAATGTATGAATATATCACCATTACACACTAAGATCTTGGATCCTTTTGATAATCACAGATACCCGAACTTAAATTCCTGGATTATGGCCCCTGATTGTTCGAAAAATGGCATTTTTAGCTTGCAGATTCTGTATAGGTCACAATTATTTTTTCCAATTTTAAAAACCGTTTAAATATTTCACTATTCCACCATAATGAAGGTTGAATTCAAATTTCGGGAAAATCAAATGAAACTGCCCAATAAAATGGCCGCTCTTTGTACACAAATTGTGTAAAAATTTGAAGGTTGTCGACCCTCTAGAGGTCACAATTTTTATCTGATTCTGATGAAACTTAAAACATATCTTTATATCCCAAAGATCTCAGTCCCTTTTGATATTTGCACATTTCAGACCATAACCTTCTGGTTTATTGCCCCTAAATGTGCAAATAAATCCCTTTTGTTTTTAGCTTGTTCTCTATCCATCTCTTGCAAAATGTGGGCATATCCTGCCTGGCAGCCGCTGGTTATATTAAGTATAGAAGGGGAACTGTAAAAAAAATTGTTTTCTGTAACGACTAACATTGGCATCGCCAATGGTCGATTTAATCATGCCATCAATTTTTTCTCCCGAGATTCCAAAAATCTGTTTTTACATCTATTTGAGAGAGCATTCCATGTAATTCAGAATTGGTGAGATGTATTCCTATCTTGAAAGTATAGGTCCAGGTTGTGTTGTATACGAAATATTGTATTTGATGCTGTACACGCCAACAAAAATGTCAGGTCGCTGTTTGTTTATTTTATCGATACCCATTTTAAGAGTATTGGAACTCGTGACAATTATATCTGCTTCTTTAACTCTAAAATAGTTTGAAAACAATTTAATAACAAATCTATTAGCTAAATTACACCTTACAATAACCCCCAAATGAGGCCTTTTCGTGGCACTTTACCGAGTGATGTGGTAGAGTTGACATATCTGGCTCTAGATGCTAAAGGTATATTTAACCGATTGCCTCTAGATTTATACACAGTGTTTATGACCAAGAATCAAAGATGCCTTTTGGTTCATCATATTACATGTTTTGTATAATAAAGAGTTAGTCGCTGTGGGCATGTTTTGTTGCAACTCTTTGAACTCATACCAATAGCTTGTAATTGCTGATTTTTCAAATTAAATATACTGTAGAAGCAATCTGATTAAAATACAGATCTATATTTCATTTCGTTTTTTTATACTTTCGGTGGCCTACACTACATGAATATCTGACAAGTTATAGCGATAGGTCACGTCAGGGGTCAAAAGACCGACTTAACCAATCAGCATTGATGTTACTAGTGGATTACCCACAGTTCTGTGCAGAACACGCCTAAAGCTTGCCGTAACAGACCGTTTCATTGGCTTATCCCTGACACCATTCAGAACACAAGTTAAATAACAACTCTTCCAGATCCAAGTGTAGTAAAGACAAGTAAAACAAAATTTTGAACTATAAAAATGAAACGAAATAGGATCTGTGTTTTAACCAGATTGACTGTAGAAGATTTTAAATTGAGCTGTAATTGCTGATTGTTCAAATTAAATATTTTGTAGAAAATTTTAAATTGAGCTGAAGTGTACAACTTTTTTTCTTTTTCAGAATAATACAGTTCACTTAACAGACAATGGATTTGAACCAAAAGTGCTAACAATTCGTCCAAATGATCGTGTTTGGTGGGTATGGCAGAGTTGTAAGAAACAACATAATATTTTACAAGTAAGTGTTAGTATTTGAAATTATTGACAGATGCTTAGGAACATAACCTTTTATACGCCCACATTTTCATTTGGACGTATATTGGCGTCGCCCCTGTCCGTCTGTCCACAATTTGTGTGTGCGCAGTCTTACAGGTCACAATTTTTACCCGTTTTTTGCGAAACTTGAAATATAGGGTTATCTCCCAAAGTTCTCGGTTCCTTTCGATATTGACATGTATCGGACCGTAACTTCATGGATTATGGCCCCTGATTGTATGAAAAGTCACGTTTTTAGTTTGTATCCGATTCTGATAAAACTTGGAATGAATGATTTTAAGCCAAAGATCTTGGTTCCTTTCGATATTTGTGCATATCGGACTGTAACTTCCTGATTGTACGAAAAATCGCTTTTTTAGCTTGTTTTCTCTGTCCATCTCTTGCAAAATGTGGACGTATCTTGCTTGTTTCACCTTTAAATCGAAATAGCACAAAGACAAAACTGTAACAATATGGTGGCTGAAACAATATTGTTATCTTTACAAATTATTAATTCTAAATTCATAATCAAGAAATTAAGCAAGTAATTATAATGCAGGTTATTTTGATTTGGTAGCTGAGCTATAGATTAATACACATGTTGGTCGTTTACATTTTCTTTGTCATAAACATATACTATATTTGTTGACCAAATTAGGTAACAATTCCGGCCGATATGCGGGGTATTGTGCATGACCATTCCATATTTGGAATTTAGCTGTTATCAGTCTGTGACATAATCAATTAGGGGTAGGCACCTATAAGAGAGAGCTTGACTAGAATAGTTTTAGACACGCATTGGTTTCTTTAGACAACCGTATTATGTGGTGGTTTCCTTAGTATAGCCACGCTGGTTAGACTTTTACAGAAGTTGGGTGGACTGAAAGACATGTTAATTTTGAAGTATTGGAATGTAGACTATTGTTTAACTGTTGTGATATACTATTGTTGTTCCTGTTACACATTTAATTTCGATATCGTGAGAAAACACAATGGCGAAATTCTTAAGAAGATAGATTCAGACCAACCCCTAGACGATCAGGCCAAAAAAAAAATGTGTGGCACCGGTAGTGCTACAAAACTCGAAATTTTAAAAAAATCAGCTCGACATATTTTGCACGTCTAGTAGGTCTGTAAACATTAATATTTGCTTTTAAAAAGATGTTCTGACCATCAAAATTGTAGTTTATGACAAAATACACTTTTGGTACCCACAAAAAACTTTGTCACTAATTAAAATATACTATTCAAAAAAAGTAGGGGATATTTGATTTTGGGGGCATAATACTAAAATATGCAAATGACTACGAAAAAAGTCACTATAGAACCTAACAGAAGAAACATTTCCAGTTACATGTGACGCCCAAACGCACCAATAGCTACCGCATGGAATGCAGGTGATGCTTGGGATCATCATGGGGGTCCAACCCAAGATTTGCACGACTCTGACTTTGAATGTTACAGTCATTGTGACATTGAATTCCAGGGTGGAAACATCAGTTTAATTGTTTTAGTGACCAGAAAACAAATTTTGATATGCGTCGGCTTACCCAAAATGAAAGGTACGTGCCCTTGGCATGCTACAGATCGGCACAACACAGGCGGTTGTGGCGCGGACGATGAATGTTTCTCAGTCTGTCATAAGCAGGCTATGGTCCAGATACCGTGATACACAATCTGTACAGGACAGACCACGCTCAGGTCGACCAAGGGCGACAACTCAAGCCCAGGATCGATTTATCCGTACCTTGGCCTTGAGAAATCGTGTCATCACAGCAAATCAGATCAGCGCTCGTCTTCAAACAGACACTGGTGTGAGAGTGAGTGGCCAGACGATTCGGAATCGACTGCATAGGGGTCACCTTCGCGCCCGACGTCCTTGCGTGATCCCTTGTTTGAGAGATCATCACATTCAGGCAAGACGTCGTTGGTGTAGGGATCGTCAACACTGGGATAATCGACGCTGGAGCAATGTGATGTTTTCAGATGAGTCAAGGTTCACTGTTGATTTTTTGGACAGACGTAGGAGGGTGTGGCGTCGTCGAAACGAGCGCTTCCAAGACGTTAACGTCATCAGACATGATCGATTTGGGAGTGGTTCTGTTATGGTGTGGGGAGGCATCACTGTTGCTGGAAGAACGGCTTTACATGTTGTTGCAGGGCGTGTTACAGGCCAGTACTACCGGGACAACATCTTGGCAGTCCATGTTGTGCCGTTCGCACGACGTCATGGCCGCCGTTTCATCTTCCAGGATGACAACGCAAGATGTCACAGGGCCAGGATCGTTACAGGTTACCTCCAACAACAGAACATCACCACATTACCTTGGCCAGCACTGAGTCCCGACCTCTCCCCCATCGAGCATGTCTGGGACATGCTTGGACAGAGGTTACGTCAACGTCAACAACGTCCTGCCAATGTCCAAGAACTTGCTGCTGCGTTGCAACAGGAATGGGACAATCTGGACCAAAATGACCTTAGACGTCTCATTAGGAGTATGCCACGTCGGATCAATGCTTGTTTGGCAAACAGAGGAGGATTTACCCGTTACTGACTTGGTTGTGATGCTGTGGTAACTTTGCTGTTTGACCCCGGGTATCATTTTACCCTTATAATGGCCAGTCTGTGCCTTGCTTAGTCTAACGATCATTTGGAATAAATCGATGAATGTGAACTTCATTTCATTTTGTCATTTGTTTCTTCGTCAGTTTCATTAGGTGACTTTAATAACACTTAAAAATCAAATATCCCCTACTTTTTTTGAATAGTATATTTAGAATTTACACCATGGAGCATATATATGAACTATGTTTTATACAAATCGGTTGATAAATAATTAATCTAGAACCCATAAACTGAATTAGCCAATGGCGGCTAAGGAAAATTATCTAGACAAAAATTGTCTCCAGCTATGTCAAAATGTGTCAACTGTTTAAATCCAACATTTTCATGTGGACGTATATTGTCCGCGCCCCTGTCCGTCCAGACGTCCACAATTTGTTTGTAGACTCTATACAGGTCACAATTCTTGTCCGATTTTTACGAAACTTGAAATATAGGTTTATCCCCAAAAGATCTCGGTTGCTTTCGATATTGACATGTATCGGATCGAAACTTCATGGATTATGGCCCCTGTTTGTACGAAAAATCACGTTTTTAGCTTGTGGACCCTATAGAGGTCACAATTTTTATCCGATTTTGTTGAAACTTGAAATGTAATTTTATAACCGAAAATTCTCGGTTCCTTTTGATATTCGCGCATATCGGACCTTAACTTCCTGAATTATGGTCCCTGATTGTAAGAAGAATCGCGTTTTTAGCTTGTGGACCCTAAAGGTCATAATTTTTATCCGATTTAAAAAAACGTATTATTATGTCACCGTTACACCCTAAGGACGACTGAGTTCGAATTTCGTGAAAATTGGCCCAAAATTGACAGACAAAATGGCCGCCGTTCGTTTTCAAATAGCGTAAAAATATGGTTGTGGACTCTATAGAGGTCACAGTTTTGATCCGATTTTGTTGAAACTTGAAATACATATTTATAACCCAAAGATCTTGGTTCCTTTCGATATACGCACATTTTGGATCATAACTTCCTGAATTATGGCCCTTGATTGTACGAAAAGTCGCGTTTTTAGGATGTGATCCCTCTAGATGTCACAATTTTTATCCGATTTTAAAAAACGTTTGAATATATCCCTGTCAAACCCTTATGATGGTTGAGTCCGAATTTCGTACAAATCGGACCAAAACTGCCGGACAAAATGGCTGCCCCTCGTACGCAAATATTGTAAATATATTGTATATCATGGTTTTGGACCCTCTAGAGAGTGGACACAATTTTGATCCGATTTTGATGTAACTTGAAATACATGTTTATAACCCAAAGATCTTGGTTCCTTTCAATATTCATGCATATCGGATTGTAACTTCCTGAATTGTACGAAAAAATCACTTCTTTTTTTCGAGCTTGTTCTCTGTCCATCTCTTGCAAAATGTGGGCGTATCTTGCATGGCAACCGCTTGTCGTGGTAAATATTGACCTGGTTATGAATCACGATACAAATCATATTGTAACACTTGGAACGCGATACATATCGTATCGTGAGTGCATTGACAATACCCAGCACTAGTGTATTGTTGAACTTGACTTCATAAAATTGATAAAAAGGAATTAAACGTGAGAAAGTGAGGTACAGCACCTCCGTCCTGCACCAAGAGGAAACAACACTGGAAAATCCTGAACAACTTTCTCGGCCAACATCCTGAGCGAATCTGAGACCTCCTGGTTATCAAACCAGTGCCTTTGGAAATAGTTTTAAGTACAGACCTCTATCACTTAGAGTTTCTGAGATCTACGCAGAATGGAAAAATAAAAAAAGATTAGTTTTATGAACAGGACAAAAGCCATTTAAAAACAACAAAAGCTAGCAAAGGCTCTATAATTCTTAACGACATCTTTAAAATATAAAACTAATTGAGCAAAGTTTTGAATTTCTAAAACACCTCAGTGAGATGACCATTATGTGATTCGTCCAAAGATTCCAAAAATGAAAATTTGACGAAGATCTGTTGAGAAATAACTGATATAAGGCCATTTTTGTCCTATGCATAAAACTATTCCGGTTTGTCAAAATTGATCCCATTTATGATAAATAAATAGTTCCACGGAGGCCAAAAATATCTCTGTTATCAGAATGTTTGCACCATGCACCAGGAGCTAACCTGAGACCTCCTGTTTAGTGAGCCAGTACCTTTCGAAATAGTTTTAATTACTAACCATTAACAACTTTCATTGGAATGAAATCAATATTCATACCTCTATCACTTACAGTTTCTGAGATCTGCGTGGAATGACCCTTCTTGAAATGTACTATTTGCATATATTAAAATGAACACCGATTGGCAGCTCAGTAGTGCAGCAATTGTAATGATTGTTCTGTAATATTGTGGTCAACCATTTGATAGCCCTGTAATTCGATATAATACTTGGTAAATAAATATACTGAGCGCCATGGAAAACACATCACTTTTTTTCCCAACTATTTTATTACTAGGTGGTTTTGTATGTATAATATTATGCAATACTAACTATGAACTATTGTTTCAAACAATGCTTCCAAACGCAAAAAATATCGGCCCGTGTGCACAAAAAAAATTGCACGAGATACACATGAAAATTCCGATATTCACGTGCAGCATTGTTTGTGAGCCCTTTAAAAGCATGTTTTCAACTTAATGTGCAGTATATGAACTGTGAAACGTCAATCTGTCGTAATTTGTTGTTGGACGTGTGAAAGAATCGAGCTAGAGATGCCGAGACTTACTGAAAATCAACGGAATGAAGCCATGGGAATGTCCAGGGCTGGCATGTCTACACGTGCTATTGCCAGACACTTCAATTGCATTCAGTCCACTATTGTAAGGTTGGTGGAATGTGTTCAAATTACTGGATCAACACATGACCGTCAACATCCTGGTCCACAATGCATTACAACCCAGACTCGAGACAGCTACATCCGGGTCACTCATCTGCGTGACAGATTCCGCCAAGCGACTCGAACAGGTGCAGCAGTCGACGGAAGACAAGGACAAGTAAGTGCCAACACTGTAAGACGTCGTCTAAGAGAAGTAGGACTCCGTGCATGACGACCTTATGTTGGAGCTATCCTCAGGGATCATCACCGTCAGCGGCGTTTGATATGGGCTCAAGGACACCAGACATGGAGAAGAGTTGACTGGCAAAGTGTGCTCTTCAGTGATGAGAGTCGCTTTCATCTTCATCACGCTGATGGCTGTCAACGTGTGTGGAGACGTCTTGGGGAATGTCTTGCAGAATGTCTTGCAGACTGCTGCGTCTTCAAAACGAATCGATGGGGTGGGGGAAGTGTAATGGTGTGGGGGGGGCTTCACATTTCATCACCGGACCGCCCTACACATTTGCAGGGGTCGCGTTAATGCTGTAGCCTACCGTGATGATGTCTTGCAACCAATTGTTGTTCTGATGTTTTGAGCGCACCCACATCTTCAGCACTTCCAATAGGATAATGCACGTCCGCATACCGCCCGGTTTAGTATGGACTACCTGGCTGCTAACAACATCAATGTCTTGGACTGGCCAGCCATGTCTCCGGACATGGCACCGATAGAACATGTCTGGGATGAGATTAGACGCCGTCTGTATCGGAGACCACAGATGCACACCATTGCTGCTTTAGAAGCGGCTCTTGTCCAAGAATGGAACAATTTGCCTCAGGCCTTCTTTGAAACATTGGTAAATTCCATGCGACGTCGCTGGACAGCGTGCGTAAAAGCCTGTGGAGGACACACACGCTACTGACATCTGTGTCGTACTTTTGGTTTTGACCCCTCTGACTTTGTACCGTTGATTACAGATTAAACATCCATAAGTGAACAAATGTGTTGTTATTGATGTGTTCCCATTTGAATATTGTTCACAATAAGAAGCAAAATAAATAAGATATGTTTACAGGATCATTTTGTTATACGAAAAACGTAAGTGATGCGTTTTCCATGGCGCTCAGTATATGATTTGAATTGCTAAATAAAATATCAATTCTGAATGAAATACATACTTATAATAAAAGTCATATTGTCTACAAGGTAATAATTGGCAGGGACTCCTATTTTAGTCATTCATTTTCATTTGATGGCAAATGTAAATTCACATTATGGAATCTTGATTGATATGCATTAGGGCTGGCGGAAAGTATTGATATTGCCGATAATCGTCGGTAAACGTTTTGAAAATCGATTATCGATACAGTTTTAAAATATTGATTATCGCGCAATTAAAGGTACTTCACTTGCAAGAAGTCCATAAAAATAATCCTTATTACTGTATTCTTTGCAACGCGTGCTTGGGCCTGGAACTGTAATTAAACAGAATAGTCATAATATAATAAAACACACAGATTTTGTTTTTTCAAGTGAGACGCCACCGGTGAGAAATGTCAGGCGCTTATGTCATGATGAGAGCCAATGGTTTCACGTAACATTCAGTTTTGCCCCTTATTTTAACTCTTCATTTCTTTTGTCTTCTCTGTTTCTAAGTCATACACGTACTTTTACCTTTATTATCTTATCAAGGAATTTGCGAAGAAATGTCTGAAAAGGAAATAACTACATTTTACTCATTATTGTTCAGGTCACAGTTCTGTCTTCCGAACGAAGTTGATTGAGTTTCTTTCTACACCTTGATTTTATTGTGGAATGCTATTATCTTATTGTCAAATGTCAAAAAAAAAAGAATTCTACATGTATACAGAATTATATCACAACATAAATTCGCATATAATTTGTTATTCATGTACAAATTATGATTGTTTTCAAACCAATTGTAAGTCAAAATAATTTGCAGATATTATCGATTAATGATCGGCAGATGGTCGGCGATAATCGATACTTGAAACAGGATCGATTGCCTATGGAAGCCTATAACTACCATTCATAATTTCTACTTTTTTCCTCTTCAGAATGTGAAAGTCGAAAAGTAGAAGTTACGACAAAATGTGAGGCGACAACATGCTATACAAGCCAAAATCAACTCGAAAATAGGAAATTAAGAAATAACACACAGCGATAATAGCGCCCCTCGTTTTTTCCTAATTTCTTATTTTCGACTTTCATTTTGGCTTGTATACCCGTCTTGTCGAGGCGAAACTCGAAAAGTCGCCAGTACGACAGCAAGCCAAAATGATAAGTCGCTAATAGCGTGTGTGTTTATTTCCTAATTTCTACTTTTCGAGTTGCATTTTGGCTTGGTATGTGTGTTGGCGCCTTCTTACTGACATCAATAAATACAAAAATATGACTAAGTCGAAAGTTGACAAGACGGTATACAAGGCAAAATGCAAGTCAAAAATAAGAAATTAGGAAAAAACGAGGAGCGCTATTATCGCTGTGTGTTATTTCTTAATTTCCTATTTCCGAGTTGGTTTTGGCTTGTATAGCATTGCACTTGACTATTAACGTAATGATCTGTGCAAATTTAAAGGTGTATATCATGCCTGGTTCTGATTAATAGGACTATATTTATATATATATTTCTGTTTGTAGGTCTCACATCAAGGAGGAAGAATAGATGGGGGGTTTTCAAGTGGACAACCACGAGATAGTCCTTCAGCCTATGTTTACCAGTTTATTTCACCAGGAGTTTATTATTTTATAAGGTTGGTTAGAATACGATATGAGTAACATCTGCATGTTTTATATGACTATTTAGTCACCAGAAAATGGTCATGGTGTGCTTCATATGCGGGAGGTACAGAAATCTATTTCTATAGTTGAATATCTACATATTTTGGTAATGAAATAAAAATTGAAATAAAATCTGTAACTGGTACATGTAGAGCAGGGCTCACACTGGCTTTCAATTTTTTTCTGTCCAAATCGATAATATTTTTTTTATAGAAATATGTTCATATTTTTTTTGAGCAAACAGGAATATTTTATCTGCCTGATTGATTAAAAAAAAAAAAGGCAACATGTAACAATTTTATTTTTCAGGTAGGCCTGTTACAAAACAATTACCAATATACACAATGCAACAACTTACAAAATCCTTCTTTACATAAATTAGCCAAGTTTTGAGATGATTGCCAAATTTCCAGCTTTATTTAAATTTACGCTTTGCGTGTATTGTTATTGTTAGGTCTATTGTTATTTTCCGGTAATAATTAAATAAAGAAATTGTCAGACATCTTTTATCGGGGACGATAATTCGACTTTATGAATCATGAAATAACTATATCAGACTCGAGTCTAGGTCATTGGATTGAATTTTATTGGGGTTAAAATTCTAACATACGTTATATTAACGTTCTAACGTCAGATTTATATTAGAAAACTAACTGTTAATAAACAGAATCTTGACGTAAACCTAAGGTTAGATTTATGGTTAGAACACAGACGTAAGATGTATGTTAGATTAACATTAAATTCATACATTTCATTATTATGTCTTAATTCCAACTATTTAAACATACATTATGCAAGAGCTAAATCTGCCTATTGCACGTCTTCCTTTAGGCCTGAAATGTTATCTAAATTATCGATTAGACATTAATTAACTTCTCCAGACCATAATCAACTCTTGATGTCATCGCTAACCTGCGATCTTTATTGGATTAGGATCCAATTTGCTGTTCAACTTTCATTCATCATTTAATCATGAAATGGATAATCAAGAGTATGTTTTCATCATGTTGACTTCAGTAATGATGATCAAGACTAGGCCTAAAATTCAATTGCTAAAATCTTGGTTCAGAGTGGATCAATTTGACTGAAATTTTCAGCAAATTCCCATTACATTCTTTAGTTTTTAACTATTATAATGAGAACAGCCAGCTTTTTATCTAATCTCTCATAATGTATCTTTAATCAATTGTTAGAATGTACACACACTGGTATGGTTATTTAATCCACATGTATTCAAAGCGGAATAAATTGGTTACAAAACTGTCATAAAATTTACATTAGATTAATATCATTTTCTGATGAAAAGTAACCATAACCATTCTGACGTTAAAGTAACGTAAATGTAAGAGTAAAATTTTACCATTATTTACCATGATGTAATCTTTACAATGGGTCTGTCATAAACATTTTCTGCTAAAGCTAACACTGTAACATTGGTACCGTTTAATCTAGCGTAAATACTGCTAATTTCTGTTCGGTGTACAAATATTCATAACTGTAGTTGAATTTCAGCTAATAGTGTTAAGTTTGTACTTGCATCCAATTTAATTCTCAGTGTTTAATTTTGATTACCAAGCGTCTAACTAGTGTTTAGTTTGTCGATACATGTTTAATTATAAGCGTCCCGCTTAATTATCACAACTGTTCAATAATTAGTTGGACCTTTCAATTTCCCGAGCGGTGATTAAAATTAGTCTAGGTGTCCAATTACGCAAGGTGTTCAATTTTGTTGTCAGACATCCAATTTCACATGCCTTGTTCAGATATTACGATGTGTTTAGTTGTGGGTCATCGTTCTTAACGCCGAATGTCTATTTTACCGCACAATGTTAGATTCGCTGAACGGTGTTTAAATACTGTAATAAATGTTAGTTTTAGAACTCACCTATTGCAATACGGTGAAATATTTTTCAGGAATCATACGACGCAGGTATCTGTATGCCTGTCATTGTCAGTGGATTATTTTTCAAGATCACTACGGTGAAATAGATGTTGGATTTTTAATGGCGACGGGACGGTTTGAGATGCACATAACGTTTAGTCCACAATCTCATGCATCTGATTTACGCGTGTACACGTCGACTCCCTGCCCTGATTAAATCCTTTTGTTTGAATGTCTTCGCAATTAAGACTAGTAGCATGGGTATTGCACCAATCATATATTACATGATACAGGATCTATATAGAAAGCATTTTGGGTTGAAGGGTAGAGCGATTATCTGGGGGAACAAAAACAGAATGCTTGGAGAAGGGTGCAAGCTGTTTCGTTCTTAGTTCATTCGTACCTCACAAGCCGTTTCGTAATTCACTTCGTACCTCAAATGGATTCGTACCTTTTCCTATATTGTTGAAATCAGTTGAAAGAAATTGAATATACCGAACGAGAATAAGAATATGCACGAGATTTGTACCTCAAATTGATTTGTACCTAAATCTGGTTGAAATAAGTTGAAAGAAATTGAAATAAAGGTGATACATAATTAAATGATTTGATCAAATCCAATGGCTGCGCTAAATTTATAAAAATGGCTGCCGACCGAGAATTAGAATACACACGTGATTTGAACCCATTCTGCTCAGTGAGTTGTGATTATTGAGGACAATTGATTGGTGATTGTTAAAGCAGTTTAAAAAAACGATTGAAAAGTATTTTTGTGTTTCCATTCAAACCATGGGTTCCATGTCGGACGTATATGCCGGTCGGGATTGAGGGCTCTGGAAAATGACCGAAACTGGATTAGACCCGTAGGTCATTTTGCACGCCGGAAAAATAGCATATGTAAACTTTCAGGTATAATAAAATGAACAGTGTTCACTAGTCCACGAATGGAAACCACTGCCAATTAAATATCCATGTGTATATTGCTCTAATCACAATCAACGGAGGATTAACATCAAACAAATTAAACGCTCAACATTTAATCACATTAATTAGCCGAGTTTTGTTTTTTAATTAGTACTGTGTGATCATGCTTAACACTGAGTTGTTGTTACAGCATATTTGCCGACTTTCATCGCTCGTGCAGCCATATTTACTGTTTCAACATCAAACAAATTAAAAACTTTACTTTGATGTCTTCACTTGATAACTAGAGTTAATCATGTGAATGATACATGTATATATATTAGAAATGTTAGCATGCTTTACATCATTTAAAAATGTTGAAATTCCAAACCTCTCAGAATAACAAAAGAAAGAGATGATAACATTGTCGTCAATGAATACGACTTCCCTTCTTCAACATCGGCCCACGAGGAAGACAGTTTCGCTGTGGAAAAACAAAGTCTGCCTTGAAATCTCATAACAAACATTCCCGTGGTTAAGATATGATATTCCCACACAAAGTTGTATTGTCGGGTGTGTTTGTATTCCTTTTGTTTTCTTTTATGTACATGTAACAACTGATTGATGTTACTTTGCTTGACACAATGAACTTTTACGCTCGCCGCCATTTTGATACACGTGCAATTATCTTTACACGTTACCGAGTGAAAATACTAGAACGATATTGTTTGAGCTCCCTAAATATTAATACAAGTTAATATATTGATGAGTTTAAAAAGTATGTTAATTGTTGTACATTTTTATGACTTTGAATTATTTAAATGTGTTAAACATTCGGAACTACTTTTCACTGTGTATGGAGAAATAGTCAACAGTCTAACTCGTCACGTACGGAGTACTCACTGGTTAATTAAAAGATCGTTGTCAGAAACATAACGCCAAGAATAGTTTTGTGACTGGTTCCCAGAATTTTAGAAAGTCGGCTCTGGTAGAGCACACTGCCTCCAGTGACCATATATTTTATGTATAAATAAATAAATGATAATTGATTACATGTGTTCCTTTATTGCGGGGGTTGGTGGGTATAAATGCTGACGTGAGATTAAATTTCGGCGTGACTGTCCTTGACCCAATTTAACCTGATCGGCATTTCAATATCATGTTTTGTGGCTTCTTATTATGTGCTAAAAACAGCACCACTTTCTCCGCTTGAAAAATGACCGGCTGGGAAAATTTTGAAGTGGAAGCCCTGATTCAAACTAACCCCATACCCCAACAACAGAGCAAAGAACAAAAGAACGGATGGTGTACAATGTCATTTATTAATAACTAATCAAATGAAATATGATTTAACAATGAATACAAATCTTTAACAATGAATACAAATCTTTAACAATGAATACAAATCTTTAACAAAGAATACTACATGTATAAACACTAATAATACAAAATAAAGTCATATTTCAGTCTTAAAAATGTGGGTTAGGCTTAAAATTAAACAAATAAATGGCACATTAAAAAGACAAAGACATATTAAACAAATTATACTATAAGATTTAAGTTCAAGGTGGAGGGTTATTAACGGAAATATTGTGGATAAAAACAAACGTCCTGTCTGTGGCACTGCTAATTCTGTTGTGATGAAAGAGCGGGAAAAACAACGCGGGAACCTAGCTCATTTACTTTATCAGGAATATACATGAAATAGACGAGGACTATATCAAGAGTAAAAAACATGGATGAGGACTGTAACACAAAAATCATTAGTAACAATGAATACAAATCTAAACACTAATAATACAAAATAAAATCATATTTCAGTCTTAAAAATGTGGGTTGGGCTTAAAATTAAACAAATAAATGGCCAAACACATCACAAATTGTGATGTCGTGCCCAAACCTAAAGACACCATCTGCATGATAGCTGAAATTATTAGGCCCCCCCAAAAAAGGGTTCTGTGCGAAAATCTTCAATTTTATGTTAGGTTGAGTTGGCGCCGAGGAACATGAAGCACGAATATATTGGTGGGTGGGTGGAATTCTTGGATAATTGTTTAAAATGTATCAGAAGCTAGATTATGATTTAAATATTCTTTTCGGGGGCAAATGGACTTTTTAATCGTTCTATGCTAAAAAAAAATTAGCGTCGGGAGGCCATTTTGTTCAAGAACTCGTGATGAAAACTTA